GTCTATATAGACCTCCAGGTTTCTATGGATCGTACTGAGATTAAAGGTTTGGGTTACCACTTGGCTGTGTCCTTGACCACATAGAGATTCTGCCTGCCATGTGATCGGATTAAGGGCATGTGCCACCACCGCCGGACTTCTGCTAAGTGGCTTGCTCTTAGCTCTGATCTCCAGGCAACTTCATTAACATACAAATAAAATCACATTTCAGCACAAATAAAATATCACCATAAGCTGCAGATGCTGTACAAACAAGTCAAAGACAATCAGTCTTCAAGTATCTACTTATTTACTAAAGGAAGTACTACCATCAAATTGTAACATTTTACTAGCTGAAAGGGGGTGGGATTTGATGATCCATTCTTACTGGCTGATGACAGGAGATAGTGCTAACCACATCACACATGTTTTGATCATAAGCATTTTGCAATGTGTGGTAGTTTGAATAATAATGCCCCCCATAGGCTCGGCTCATGTATTAGAATGCTTAGTCATTAGGGAGTAGAACTACCTGAGAAGGATTAGGAGGTGTGGTCTTGTTGGGGTAGGTGCAACCTTGTTGGAGGAAGTATGTGACTGGGGGTGGGCTTTGAGGTTTCAAAAGCCCAAGCCAGGACCAGTGGCTCTCTCTTCCTGCTGCCTGTGGATCTGGATGTAGAACTCTCAGCTGCTTCTCCAGCACCATGTCTGCCTGCATGCCACCATGCTCTCCATCATAACGATAAAGGACTAAACCTCTGAAACTGTAAGCAAGCCCCAATCAAATGCTTTCTTTTGTAAGAGTTGCTGTGGATATGGTGTCTATTCACAGCAATAGAACACTGACAAACAGACACAACTTAAGCTATGTCTTATTGAAATTTCTGAAAATTATGGACATTCTTTCAATTTGTTTCCATAAAAATGTATTTGTTAGAATATATACTTTGCATAAGAATGTTCAAAAGTAGCTGAGTGGACACCTTTAATCCCATCACTCAGGATGCAGAGGCAGGTAGATCTCTGTAAGTTCCAGGACAGCATGGTCTACAGAGGGCATTTCAAGACAGCCAGAGCTCTACACAGAGAAACTCTGTCTCAAAAAAAAAAAAAAAAATAGAGTATGTTTTGGACTGTAGAGATGGCTCAGTGGTGAAGAGCACTAGCTGTTCTTCCAAAGGACCTGGGTTCAAGTCCCAGCACCCACATGGCAGCTCTCAACTCTCTGTAAGCCCAGTGTCAGGGGATCTGATACCCTAACACAGACATAAACGTAGGCGAAACACCAATGCACACGAAATAAAAATAAATAAATTAAAAAAGAATATTCGAAAGCCTGTTATTACATAATAATGACAACAGATACAAGGGATATAATGATATATGTGATTTTTTCAATATAGTCAGACTTCTCACATCTATGTTAACCTATTTTAATATCTTTGATTTGTTGAATGTTGTCTTTAGTCTAACTTATATTATAGTCTCTTTTAATTATTCTAACAATCCTAAAAGTTGTATTAATATGTATTAATTATTATTAATATTATATTAATTATTATTATTATTAATATTATATTATTATTATTAATAGCTGGGTGGTGGTGGTACACGCCTTTAATCCCAGCACCTGGGAGGTAGCGGCAGGTGGATCTTTGTGAGTTTGAGGCCAGTGTAGTGGTCTACAGAGTGAGTTCCAGGATAGGCTCCAAAGCTACACAGAGAAAGCCTGTCTTGAAAAAAACAAACAAACAAAAAAAAAACAAAAACAAAAAAACAAAAAAAGTTGTATTAATGCCTCTATATTTAAAATTTTTTTTATTGTTAGTGGTGTGTGTATGTGTGTGTGCGTGCATGTGTGTGCATTTGCACTGGTGTGCATGTCTTACAGTGTGCCTGTGGTCAGAGCAGCTTTCAATAGGCTTTCCTTCCATGGTGAGTTTTGATACTCGATTTCAGAGCATCAGATATACATGGCAAGCACTTTTGCCCACCTAGTCATGTTACTGGCTACATTCTATGAGAATCGCCCAGATCTGGCTTCTTCCATGATGTATTTCTCAGTATCGTACCTATTACAATTTAATTGTGCTTCAGTATCTCAGTTCACAACACCTGGGTTGAGAGGAACGGATTCTAGTTTTCCAAACACACCTGTGATCACCTTTTCTTTTTAATCTTACTAAGCCAATAGCTTTTCTCCATCAGAGCAAGTCTCTAGAAAATGTAGTAATAATTGCAGGGACGGGCTATAGCATAACTGCCGGTCAGCCTTAGTGCTGAACAGTCAACACACACAACAAGCAAGCCTGTGGGAAATAAAAAGGAAAATTAATTCTGGGCAAGGTAGCACATGCCTTGAATCCCAGGACTCAAGAGGCAGAGGCTAGGGGTGGTGGTGGCGCACAACTTTAATCCCAGCACTCAGGAGGCAGAGGCAGGCAGATCTCTGTGAGTTCGAGGCCAGTCTGGTCTCCAAAGCAAGTTCCAGGAAAGGCTCAAAGCTACACAGAGAAACCCTGTCTTGAAAAACCAATAAATAAATAAAAAGAGGCAGAGGCAATGCATTTCTGTGAGTTCCAAGACAACATACATTTAAATAAACAAACAAGCAAATAAACAAACCAAAAATCAAAACCAAAATCCTGTCTCAAAAAACAAAACAAAAAAGAAAGGAAGAAAGAAACTAAACTGGAAGATGGTCAACGGTCTCTTTAAAACTTTTCTATCCTAACAGGAAGACTGTTGCGGGTGTGGGAAGGGGGAAGGGGTGAAGAGAAACTGGTAAAAGTAGAGGTGAATGTGATCCAAGTACATTATGTTTGTGAGTGGAACTGTTACAATGAAATCCTCTACTTCCTCTAAGTACTATGTGCTGATAGAAACATTTGTGTGGGTTGGGGATGTAGTTCACTTGGTAGAGTGTTTTCCTAGCATGCACAAAACTCTGGAGTAGATTCCCAGTACTGCCTAAACCAGGCACGGAGGCACATTCCTGTAATCCCAGCATTTGGAAGGTGGAGGCAGGAGGGTCCCAGATCACTTCCTATCACAAAGCTTCCTCTAAGAATTACAATGTCCAGTCCCATGCACTATACAAAACTTCCCTTTGAGTTAAATCATTTTCCTTCTCCTCCTAAGGGCAAGCTTCAAACAGAGCAGTGGTGGCCTTTGCCTCATCTGCCAGCCCCCCTCTCTTTCCATTTAGCTAGACTCCCAGGCTCCTGGGGTTAGAGGGTACAGAAAGTTCTTCCTTGGCTGCTGTCATTCTCCAGGGCTTTGCACACCCCAGCACGGCAGATGTCGAAAGCTGACTCTCCCATGGGACTGGGTTCTTCACAAGTTCCCTGGATGTTGCTCCCGCAGCAACTCTGCTAGAGAAACCAGCTCTCCAACGGTCCCTTTACATGTTGCATTTGGATCTGCCTCATTACCTCCCTTGGCATCTGATAGCGTGTCTCAGAAATTCAGCCAGAGTTTCCATGTCAGCGCCTAAAACATTTCCCATCCCGTGCATCACACACACACATGCTCACTTTAGTGGATGTGAGGACAGAATGGTACTTTCCTCCAGCAACTTAAGCAATAATTACCTCGGGATTGGTTCCTGGACACGCAAGTGCCTTCTAGAAAACATGTGATAGTAGTATTTGCATATAACTTCTGCAGATTGTAGGCTTCAAGGCCCTCCTGGATTACATAGAACACAATAGCAATGCTATGTAAATAGTTGCTGGTATCATATTGTTTCAGGAATAATTGTGAGGCAAAAATCTGTTCATATTCCACAGAGATTTAAATGTATTTTTCAAGTATTTTCCATCTGGTTTGTTAAAAATACACATATGACATAATACTTACAGATACAGATGGCCAATTATCTATAATAAACGTTGCCTGACTTTTGACACAATGTTGAAGACATTGTTATTACTAGTTATTACTGCTCATTTTAAAGTTTTATTTTTATTTCAATTTTAAAATTAATTGTAATACCTGTTCCATAAGCATTCACTCTTTTTTCCCTATCATCCCATATTTTAGTGGTTTTTCAATAAATGTGTAGTTTCAATTCTGTCTGCCCCATCTGTAAAATTGAAATCAATTCTGTCTTTTCCCATTGATAGAAGTTTTTCATAAGAGTTTACCTTGGTTTACATTTTTCTATATAAAAATGGAGAAGAGAGCATAAACATAACTCCCCCTCCCTCCCCCCAAGACAGGGTTTCTCTGTGTAGTTTTGGTGCCTGTCCTGGATCTTTTTTTTTTTTTTTTTTAATTATGTATACAGTGTTCTGTCTGCATATACACCTGCAGGCCAGAAGAGGGCACCAGATCTCACTATAGATGGTTGTGAGCCACCATGTGGTTGCTGGGAATTGAACTCAGGACCTCTGGAAGAACAGCCAGTGCTCTTAACCTATGAGCCATCTCTCCAGCCCAAACATAACTTTCTAATCTGTAGAAGGATTCATTTCAAACAGAGGTGCCATTTCTGGTCAATACCATTCATGCATTTGACGAACTTACTGGAGAATCATTGGAGCCATATATTTTAAATTATAGTAATATTACCTTTTAACCTTCTTAATCCCTTTCCCTGGCTCTCCTATCCCACCTTCAGGATCCTAAGAGGGATTGCCATGACAACTGCATCCCAATTGGCTAGAACAAGGAAGGGAGGGATCTAAGATACACATGAGGTGCTCATTTCCAATGTGCCTAGACGCGCCTTTGCTTGTTTGCATAGCTTTGTTGTTGTTTTGTTGTTGTTGAGACAGGCTCTCACCACATAACTCTGGCTGTCCTGGAACTCACTGTGTGGACTAGGCTGGCTTCCGAACTCACAGAGCTATGCCTGCCTCTGCCTCCTGGATCTGGAATTAAAGGTGTGTACCACCACACCCGGCCCCAGACAAAGCTTTTCACCCCAGGTACCTCACTCATCTTACTCCAGACCTGTTTCTGTGCATTGGGCCTTCATTCCTTCATTCATTTGTTCAATCAACAATTCCCTCGAATACTTTCTGTGGGCCAAACATTTATTCTTGTTGCTAGACATCCAGACAAGGAACAGTGAGATGAAAGGTGCTGGTCTCGGTATTGGGTATCCATCCAGTCCTGTAGAGAAAGAAAAAGCAGAGGAGGGTAAGGAAGTGCCAGAGTAGAATTAGGGGAAATCCTTACTGACAGAGCGACATTTGGACAGAGAATTAAAGGAAGTAGCATGGCTCTGAAGACTTGATGAAGGATTGGTAATTTTATTTGTCACTTGTTTATAATAAAGAGACTTCGGCCGGGCGGTGGTGGCGCACGTCTTTAATCCCAGGACTCGGGAGGCAGAGGCAGGTGGATCTCTGTGAGTTCGAGGCCAGCCTGGGCTACCAAGTGAGTCCCAGGAAAGGCACAAAGCTATGCAGAGAACCCCTGTCTTGAAAAACCAAATAAAATAAAATAAAATAAAAAAATAAAGAGACTTCACATACATTTCTGACTTCCTGCAACAAGTCCAACGATCAGGCAAAATGAAGCCATGTTCTATATGACAGCGATCACATGGAGCAGAGGGGGCCTGCTTACTAAGTCAGAGCCTTAATATTGGGCAAAGAGGCTCCAGTTTCCCAAGTCTTCATTGCCTGTCTCACTCAATTACATCGCCTGTCTGCCTATCCCTTGTGGACCCGAAAGTTCGAATCCTTGACTGCAACCTGGAGAAAAGACAGATCTCAAATGCCACCACCCGCCTTTCATGCACTGCCTAGGTCTGACGTCCTTGCAGTGCCAACATCTACTCACCCACACTGCTGCCCCTGTGAGCCCCAGCCTGGATCCTGGACTCCAGAGGAACGGTGTTTGCTTAGCCGCTGGAAGCCTGGAGTGACGGGCACCAATGGGATAGATAGTCTCTTGCACCATGATTGATGTTATCAGGACTGGGTTAAGAACTTGCCATCCTAGTCTACGCCCATTGTAACTTTCAACCACACCAACCAAACTATGTTAATTAATAAAGAGATCCTGGGCTAAGCCAGGCATATTTTCTCTCTCAGAAGAATCTCAACACAGCAAGCTATTGCAGGCATCTGAACTCCACCTACCTGCTGGCACACAAAAAGGACAGGAATTTTCCACTTGAGTGAGAAGCCGCCCCGCACTCACAGAGACTCCCCTGAGGAAGATCCGTGTGTGGTAGAGAACACCAGCAAAGAGCCCTCTGTCAGGTGTGTAGACACCACCCCCAACACCAGGAGTTTGTCAGCTGTGGGTTGGCATAGCAACGACCTCATGCTTTCTACACCAGGTAGATTTTTGTTTCTGTAGCTATTTGTCTAAGCCTTAAGAATCTTTTAAACTGAAGCGGGAGAGATGAGGAGTTAAGATTGCTCAACCCCACTGCAGCCGCATGGAACTAGTTTGTTATAAAATAAAAATAGGTGAGAGCGTGGTGACTTTGGAGCAGACCTGACATGCATGTTTCTGGGACAAACTATAAGGCTCCGAGTGGATTTCAATCCATTGCATTTTGTGCCAAATTAGAAAATCTTAAACTGGGGGCGGGGAG